ATAAGAAAAATAAATATTTACGTATAAACGAAAATTGTTGAATGAGACGAACCAGCATCAATAACTACAGCATAATCTCGAAATGGTGTTAGTTTAATAAACCAAAGCACAATCATTGTAATAACAGCAGCAAGTGATAAAAATCCAACAACCGTTGCTAAGACTAATGCTATATGATACCATCGAACCATACTGAGACTAGCCTAGTATTAATCTAAAATTAAAAAAAATATTTCATGATTGCTGATCTTGTATAAACCTTATTTTCATTATGATTTACTGCATATTCATTCAATATATGATTATATTTAAAGAAAATGTCTATATGCCATAATAAAAAAATATCCATGGATATGAAATATAAGATGTATTGAATGTCAAAGCAATATTTAAGCTGAAAGGCATTTTAGAAACTAGATGCTTTGGTGCATTAAGTAAAAAATAATTTATTTTATAAATAAAAGAAGTTTAGTACCATTAAACTTCGTAAATTTGTCCTTCCTTTCGCTACGCAGAATTTTTTTGACATATTAAAAACGTGTACTTCGGATAAATGCCATCTTTGGTTTGCTCTCCATCAATATATAATCAGCAGGCGAAAATAATATTGAAACTTCAATCTTTCTTTCATCATTCAAACAAATATTTGTATACTATTGAAAATGTTGAAAACAATTTATGTCCGCTATCCTGCTTCAATCGATAACAAAAAGAAATAAAATTTTTTATTTCTTTCATCAAAAAGATCATATATTCCAAAATAATATTCTATACATGAAAGGATTTATTTATTCTTCTTTACTATAGTATTCATTATATTGGTAATAACTTTACCACTTATATAGGTCAACATAATGAATAGAAAATTGTTTACCAAAATAGGTGCTTGAAACTTACTTACATTAGAATCACATATAAATTACGAAACAGAATGCTAATGTTGTCATATAAAACATAAACAGGTGATGAATATACCTCGATGAAAAAAAAAATCATTGGTTTGACGATTTTTTATTCATAAAAATAAATACGGAATAATTCGTAGTACCGATAGAAAAGAGTTTGACATGAAAATCAAGTCAAAAAGGATTAAAATCGATTTATAATCTCATTTGTCCCCTTATTTTTTTTCCACACGGATATGTATCAGAAATTTAATATATATGCATAAATAATAATTGTAATACACTCTTATGTAAAATCAAAGTTTGACCCGTAATTGACATAAAGGTGTACGCGAATATGCAAACGAAATTTATTTTTTTTGTGAAGAAATGAGTAATAGATTTACAAATAAACAACGATTAAATGAAAACATTACTATCAAACTTATTTTTTATCATTATAAAAACTAAATATTTCACTTTTTCGAAATTTTTTTACTTGTTTGTCATGTTTTCTATAGGAATAAATGATAGTTACCGTTACGATCAAACTGATAATCAACAATAGAATACATGAAACTAATAAACCATGATATTCTCTTTTTGTTAATAAACGTGTTGGCCGATGTTTGGGATCCAAATAATTTGTTTGATTTATCATATAACCTAATGTCCAGCCAATTTCATTTGAATGGATTGTTTTAATAATTTGAAAATGTTTTAAATTCTCATCAGTCATATGAAAACCATATTGAAATAGTGTCCAATCGTGCATCGAATTAAAACATAAAACTATATATATATAAATAAAAATGAGTTTTTGTACAAATTTAGTTAAGAATTTTGGCACCTATCTAAGCGCAAAGTAAAAATATATAAATGCTACGTAAATACTGATTTTATCGGTAAAAGAAAGAAATTAGATAAGTAAAAAATAATAATTGACAAGTCGTTATTTTTTGTTCGTTCTTTCTACATACGTTACGTACGCTTGAACTGATTCATTCCTATTCATCACATATATTTGATTTTCGTTTTACTTTTTGACACCTTTTTGTATATATTAAATCTGTTGAAATTTATCTCAATCAGTGTATGTCGATCTTCCGACAAACATTTCCAAAACATGTAGGATCGATGATCTAAAGTTAACTATGCAACACTTCCATATATATAAATTGTTCAACCAAATGTTTTACTAATATATTTCTGTATTTATAGTGCTTAAATAGGTGCCAAGAATTTTTTTATTTACATGATCTGTGTTTATCTGGTTTATGTACATGTGACCATGATTGTTTACATATTGCTTTGATAGTATGTTTGATATCTGTTAACTTAATAGAAGTAAAATTATAATTACCATCGTGATTAGGTTTTATAGATACATTTGGAGCTAATCTACTAAATGTCGAGTACCATGCTGCCATAGCGACAAATTTTATAGATGAAGAAATAGGTACTGGTTGATAGACATTATTGAAACTACAAGTTGATGAAGAACATGATGAATTATTAAAACGTTCTTTCATAATTCTTTTACATTCTTTATAATCACCAGTACCTCTGAAATCAAAGAAAAATTATCTTATTAACGTATATAATTTAAATTGTCATACATAAATGAGAATATTGATGATGTATTAAGATATACAGAAGATTCATTTTGTCCATGAGCACAAGCTGTACTGAACAAATCATTATAAGTCTTATTTTCAATATAATCACGTTGTAAACATGGATCATGTATAGACAAAGATCCATTAGCTTGTTCTACTAATCTTCCTTGATGAACTAGACGTGCTTGGTCTTGCCCATAACATAAATATGAATGAGAATATACATCATAGTTTCTATCAAATAGATTCATTCGATATCGCTCTTTAGTTGCCTTAGGAGCTATAAAACTTAATTGAGTACTAGCACCTTTATATATATATAAATAACTATTCATATCAATACATATATTTCATACATACCACCCATATCCAGGACACCAAAGGTGTCTAATGGTTTGCTTTTATTAAACAGTTCTTTTAGTAGAATATTTGTTGATATCCATCCAGACAAACCTTCTTCGCTACCACTTATGATACGTACTTGATTTATAGGATCACGAAATCGAAGTTTAAGAGTACTAAAATATGTACGAGTGCTATTCAATAAAAGAGTAATATATGCTGGATCTGTAATATTCAATAAACGAAGACCAGCTGTTGCACCTAAAAAAGATCAGAATACTTGTATGAAAGAGAAAGTGAAATAAGGTATTGATTATACCAAGAAAGATTAATGCTCGACTTTTTCGTGTTGATGGAATACTGCTGATGCAAGTAGTCATAGCTGAATCAAAATAGTTTTTAACATTATCTTGTGTTGCATTTACAATTGTTGTAATAGGTTCATGAGAGACAGAACATGATTTAACTTGTTTAATTCGTGATGTTGTTCCAAGTCCACCTGATTTATCTGTAGACCATCTATAACATAATGTTTGAATAGCGAATATTAGAAAAATAAATATTTACGAATAAACAAAAATTTTTGAATAAGATGAACCAGCATCAATAACTACAGCATAATCTCGAAATGGTTTTAATTTAGTATGCCACAAAATAACTAATGCAATTGTCATGATAAAAGAAAAAATGCTTATGTTAAATGCAATAGCAAATATAGTTTTGCAATGTTTTTTTGGTAGCATGTTACTAGAGCATCTATCTAAAATAAAGAAATAAACTGGTATGTTAGTTTTATATAATGAATAAAATCTTCTCGTTATTATCTAAGGTAATAATGTCGACTGTATGCGGGGTATCAACATGTATTTTACATATAAAAAGTGGACTATCTATGCAATTGTTTTTAAGAATTGAATTCTCATTTGAAAGAAATAAACACAGTTTCAATTTATCTTTGTATATTCTATCCATCTGATAACACTGTAGATATATTCATGTATTCAAATGCGTTGAAATCAGTTCAAAATTTTGATAAATATTAAGAAAGTACGCCTATTGTTGTCAGTAAACTGTATACAAAATTATTTATACCGCGACAACATAATAATATTTAGTAGCACTTTGAATTGCAGAGCAGTTCATCATAGAGGTGTAAATAGTAGCTACAAATGATCCTATATGATAAGGTTTATCACAACTTTACAAACGATGATATGAAGATATAGTTATCACGAACGTAAAAGCGTATTGTTGATATGTTGTTATAGTATTATGTTTGAAGGTTATTTAACTTCAACGCATTAGATACAAAACATTTGTTTAATTTCACAAAAAAAGACATAAAAATCAAGATATATCTTTTAAGTTTCGTTAAGAAAACGAAGTCTATATAAACATTTATATTAAATTCATTTAATTCTTGTTGATAGTGATAAATATCACTTTGATAAATTCTATTACAGGCTGATGTTATAGTATTGTAAACTTAATGGAATATAAAATTCAGGTACAAGAGTTAAAATATAACATAGAAAGACTAACATTTAATATGTAATTACTACGAATACATAATACATCAAATGACACTTGGTCTTCCATAGATAAATATATATTCAGTATGTGAAGAAGAAGAAGATCTTATAGTTTAAGTTCAATTCAGATTTCATATCGACAGATGGCAGTAGTTGATGATTAACTATTGTACTAGATTTATGTACCAATTTATCATTTCTTAATGATGATGATTTAAAACATTTATAATAACAAAATGAAAACTCCTCCTATATCTATCATTTATATTATTTGAATGCTCAATTGAATGAACCAATCATTTTCTAACCCTTCAAATTCTTTGTTCATCGTTTTCCCGAAAAGAAAGCGAATCACATAAATTGTATCTGTATCTCTACAATATTATATTTTCTAGCTTTAAATGGCTACTGAACAATCATCTTCAGGTAAATCTAAAAATCTATCTTTTACTTTTACACATTCATACTTTAGAATCTCCATCTCGAAAACGCCCGCGTCGTTCAAAACAAGATCCACAATTTATATTCGATAATCCAATCGTTGATGAATCAGAAACGGATACATCATTAACTAAACGAAATTCAACAAAAAATAAAACAAAACCATTACGTTCTGTTGATTCTCCTGATGCAAGTGCTGATTTATATGAACCAGGTGATATTGTCTGGTGTAAATTAGGCGGTTTTCCATGGTGGCCTGCATTAATTGTATGTTTTATAGAATTATAAACATATAATCTTATTTTATTTTCTTAGTATCGTTGTACCACTGAAGGAGGAATTCATACAAAAACATTAAGTATGTTGAATAAAAAAAACTATCAATGAAAATATAATTCATTGTTCTCTCTTTCTAGATTCAAATAATAAACCGAAACGATTATTTTTCGTGTATTTCTATGGTAAATATCTTGAATATTCATGGATATCAACTCGTTGGCTATTAACATATGCTGGATTAAGTAATTTTATTCAACATGCTGAAGCTGCTGTTCAACAAGTAAATTTAAATAAAAAGGTAATCTAGACGATTAATAAAAATATTTATTTCTAGGCTGCAACTAAATCGGAACAACAAGAATTAGCAAATAGATTTCAATTAAAAGTTTCAATGAAAAAACGTGTACAATGGTAATATAGATTATCATTTATATTCGACTTAACTTAATTAGCCTTATTATTTTTTCAAGGGATGAAGCAATTGAATTAGCTGATCGAGCATTAACAATGACAAAAGATGAAAGAATTGAAGACTTCAGTGATCTATTAAAAGATGCTTTAAATCAAACAAAAAATAGTAATTAAATAATTTTAATAATAGAATATGTGTTTTTTTCATGGTAATAATATTATTAGGTGTACGTCGTCGAAAAACATCTGTTGAGAAAAATCAAAATGAAGAAGAAGGAGAAGGAGGAGAAGAAAATGGAGAAGATAAACAAAATGCAAGAGATTCTTCAATATCTTCAAATTCTTCTTTGATACCTGAAGTAAAAACTGAAGAGACAAATACAACTGAAAAACCTTCCGTATCACATCGAAAACCTGCAGCTTTTAATCAAAATGGTTCAACAACATTAGAAGAAGATGATCAGACAGTAAAAAAGAAACGTGGACGAAAACCAAAATCAGAAACAAATACATTATCAAATTCAGCAGTAAGATTTGATTTTTTTTTGAAAGAAATATTAACTAGGGAAAAAAATTTGTTCAGATCTCAACAACAGAAGATAATCAACCAATGAAAACTCGTACAAAAATTTCGTCTACAAATAAAGATCATACTCCTTCAACAAAACAAGTACGTAAAAGTAGACGATCAGAAAAAACAAATGGAAATGAAATTGAATATGATTATAAACCATCAGATCGTTCTGATCAACAAATTTCATCACCAATCGTTCATCTTCTTCAAGGAAATTATCCACCATTATCAAATTTTGAACAAAAACAAATTGTTGAAGGTCTTCTTCATCATCCAAAAGAGAGTAGTTTAACTTTTGATGAAGCTCAAACATATGCAATTAATAAAGCTATTGAAATAAGTATGAATTCAAATCATAATTTCGAAAAAAATTAAATTTTTATGTTTTAGTTTATGAAAATCATAATTATCGAATGAATAATATTTCACCTGAATGGTTTTATGAATCTATATTATTAAAATATCCATCAGTTGTATTTAAATATCGTTCATGGTTTGAAAATATTAAAACTGATACAATACCAAATGGAAATGATATGATAAAACTTAAACAATGGCAAATTGGACTTATGCTTCAAGCACAAATTAAATCTGAACAACAACAACAACAACAACAACAAGATTCATCTAATGGAAATTAATAGTGTTCATAAAAGAATATAAATATATATATATACATATGTATTTTGAACTCGTAGAGTTCTTTTGTTTTTTGTACAGAAACCCGTGAGGAAAAAAAAATGTTATTTCTTTTTTGTTTGCTTCTTGCTGTCAAATGTTTTTCTTTTGATTAACCTTTCTCAGTAGAAATGATATGTTTGTTGAATGTAAGACAAAAAAAAATGTATAAGATTGATTTAGTTTTCCAATAAACAACAGAAAAAAAAGAACGAGAAAAAAATTTTTTAATGGAAATATTTATTTAAAAGCGACAGATCTCAAATTATGTATTACAAAAGAGATTCTGATCGACACCAATGAAGTTTATACGTGTAGTTTTATATAGTTGAAATAGGATACTTACGGATGTAATTATACAACAAAAGATAGTTTAGTATCAATACAATATTTATATGATTAAGTCAGGTATAGTAATTATGGGTATAGTTTGTTGATTTGTTTGTCAAAGTAACAGAAACTAAAGGTAGGAATTTTTAGATAGATCAATATGTCATTTTGATTTTATTATAAAAACTTGAGAGTTTATTTAAAAAATGGGTAGATAACTTCGACCTGTATACGACAATGGACATGTGTATCAAGAAAAATAAAGTCAAAAAATGAATTATAAGTAATCGAAAAATGAGATTAATCTAATTTAATGCATTAATAATATCAGTTAGAAAGTTCTTCATCAGGGGCGTACCGAGGTGTCGAAGGCAGAGGAGCGTAAAATCTCAGTACGTCAAGTTCGAAAAGCAGGGGGGGGCGCAACACCCTTTTTGCTTAAGTCCAACACCAAAAAACACGTAAAAATCCTTATTTTTGATTTTATTGACCAAAACAACAAAAAATTTCCAAAGCAGGGGGGCGTAACACCTCCACGCGCCCCTAGTCGGTGCGCCCCTGTTCTTCATTTATAATTTTTCTTATATTAAGATTCTAGAAAAATTAGCTGAAAATAGACTGATATTTAGTGACATCTATTAAGACTATATTAGTAAATATTTAATGTCAATCTATTTTCAAAAGATCTTTATTATTTTTGAAAAACTATTTCATATAGTTTGATATTAAGTTTTGATTATTCAACAATGCCAATGTAGAGGTTCTATTCATGTTAAATGGCAACAAGAGAAAGAAAACATAACCGACAAATAGCAACAAGTGTATCTATATATTTATCTCTTCCACTCATTCATTTATTAACAAAAATCTTTGATTCTTTTTCAGAAATTTACTCTCATTATACAACAAAAACAATGACTGATACAGAAGTAGCTATTTCAGGCAGTAGTGTTGGTGCAGGTGGTGATACAGAAATTGATTTATATGCAGATGTCGTAGAAAATGAATTGGAAACCGTAAGAAATCATTGTTATTTTTATAAAAAAATCAATACATAATCTCTTTTTTTCATTCAGGAAACTGGTGATGATTACGGAGCTAATGATGAACATCATCTTCTCTCACAAGATAATGATCTATACGATGATGTAATTACAACACAATCATCAGGAACTGATTTTACTGACATAACAAATACAATTCATCAAAATCTTGATAAAGGTGATCACATAAATGGATTAGGAATTAGTGGAAATTCATCATCAAATCATTATGGTGGAAAACGTATTTCACTCTATGTTGGTCAACTTACTTGGGTATGTTAGAAGAATATATAAGAGAAAGAATTGTAGAAAACTATTTTCATTTATTCTAGTGGACAACAGATACTGATTTATGCGATATTATTCAAGATTTAGGAATAACTGATTTACTTGAAGTTAAATTTCATGAAAATCGTGTTAATGGACAATCAAAAGGGTAAGAATTCATATTTGTTTTATTGAATTCCTATGACTGATTATACTTTTATTTCTAGTTTTGCTGTTGTTACTGTTGGTTCTGAAGCATCATCTCGAAGTATTCTAGAAAAAATACCAAAACGAGAAATTTATGGACAAACACCAACTGTTCTACCATGTAATAAACAATCATTAAGTTTTTTTGAAGGTACTAGTCGAAAAGATGGACCTATGGAACCTATGCCACAAATGAGTGCACCACCTCGTAAGTTTCCTACTGATTAAATTAGAATAATATTTATCATATAAATCCTTAAATTTTTAGCTCGTCCTATGGCACGTCCACAACTTGGACTTCCATTTCAAATACCACATGGTGGCCCAATGGATGGACCATATCGTTTTTCACATCAAGGATCTGTTATTTTACCAGGAGGACCAGGTGGTATGGTTCGTCCACCAATGCAAATGACTCTTGGTCCACGTGGTCCTATGCCAGGTGGTCAAATGGTACTTAATCGTATGCCTGGTTTACATCCACAACAACCTGTAGTTGTCATGCGACCACCACCACAACAGCAACAACAACAACAACCTGGTATGCATCCAGGTAGTAACGGATCTCTTGTACGACATCCTATTCGACCTGGACCACCAGGTAAATTGAAGAGCGAAAAAGAAGATTATTTTCTTTACATATATGGTTGTGTTTCTCTCATTCAGGCATACCAGTATCATCTAGTTCAATGTCAATGATGCCAGGTCAACATCCATCTGCCTATTATCCAGGACAACAACCACCTAGTCAAGGAGTATGTATTTTATATTTTTTATAAAAAAAAGCAAATTAATTATATTTTAAATTATAGCCACCTCCACATAATGCTCCTATGTCTGGTCCACCACGTCCTGATCCATATTATCGTGGTACTGAAGCTCCTACAAGTATGATATCTATAAGTGAAAATGAATTTCAAGATATTATGGAACGTAATAAAACTGTATCAAGTAGTGCCATTGCTCGAGCTGTTCAAGATGCATCTGCCGGTTAGTAATATAACGTTGACTCTATATTTTTCTTATTGTTTTTGTTTCTTTCAATAAAAATTAGGTGATTACGGTACAGCTATTGAAACATTAGTCACAGCTGTATCATTAATTAAACAATCCAAAATTGCTAATGATGATCGATGTAAAATATTAATTAGTTCTCTTCAAGATACACTCAAAGGAATCGAAGATAAATCTTATGGACAACGGTAATATTTATATGCATATATATTTCTTTTAAATTTATTCTTTTACTTTAGACAACATCGACGAAGTCGATCTGGATCACCTCGTGAATCACGCAAGAAACATCGCCATCGTACACGTAGTCCACGTGAGCGAAGTGAATATCGACGTGTTGAAGATTACGATGGAAAATATGGTCGTGATCATCGACGACGATGAAAACTAGTTTTTTTGTTCATATTAAAAAAGAAAGAAAAGAAACGAACACAACACATGTATTCTGGTAAGCTTTACAAAAAAATAACTTTTCTGTATTTAATCTTTTTGAACATTTTTTTTTTCTTCATCGTTGTGTGTGTGCGCGCGCGCCATGTATGATTGTTTTTTTCATTCCCAAAAAAATGATGTCGATATAACTAGAATAGATTTCGTTACGATTATATATATATATATTGATAAGAATTATTCTTTTAGTCATGATATAATTAATAGTCAAATATGTTTTTGTTTTTATTTTTTCTGATAAACAACGTCAAATAATCGTTCTTGTTTTGATTTTTTCTGGCCTTTGGATTTTTATTTATATATGAATTTTTATTTTGTTTTTTAAAGCGTATGAATATGAGATATTCGCATTCCATTATGCATAATTCATGATTGTTGAATTTTTATTCTATTTTTTGTTTCCCATTGATAATACAAAGTATTTTTCATAAGATTATAGTATTCAATTTTTGATTGAATCATGTATATTAAGTTAGTAAAATTTTGTCTAAATAATGAATAAATAGTAATTTTGTTTTTTAAAAAAAAGTATATATGATTATAATTATTATTAACGAACAATAAAAATATTTGAGTGCGAATATATATGTATACTTGAAATTTTTTTTTCATAAATAAATGCTTATTGATTTATACAACAGTAAGTGTGAATTAAATGAATAAGCTTTTCAAAAAAAAAAGAATTATTACGATTGATTTCATTTATTTTTCAGTTGTAATCATTGCAATCTATTACGAAATATTTATTGGAGGTTTTTCCTTCCGAGAGTGCAATAGCGATTTCCGGGAGGGCGAAAATCTAATTTCTGGAAGGAATATACACAGTATAAGCACAAAAATTGCAATTTTCGGGAGGGCGCCATCACCCTTGCCCTCCCTCTAGATAAATCACAGTCTTATTCTCAAGGACCTTCTGCTCAAATACATAATTTCTCCTTACGATAGTAGATGCTGAGACTTGTTGTCACGGAAAACTCCCCTCTGATATATTATATTTTCAGTAGACTAAAATGATCATTATTCAGAGACAGAAAATTCAAGACGATCAATTGGAATGATTTTCTTGTTAATCTTATTCAGGAAAGACTCAAATATAAGATATTTTTTGTCTTCTTCTATTAAGATTTTAATTTTATTAATCATTATTGCATTGATTTTATATTCTAGGTCACCGAATCGAATGAAACGATGGCTATCCGTCTTGTTTTCTTGTTTTGTTGCTGTTTACTTTATTGTACAAACTATTTTTTTTTCTTCTTTTCTTTTTCCTGTTTATTCTAATAACTCTATATTATTCATTGTGTTGTTTTATGTTTTCTATGTCTATGTTTGTGTATGAATATACAAAGAAAGAAAATAAAAGTCTCTCGAAAATATATCAGTTGAACCTGAAGAAATGATTAATACTATTTACAAGTTATGAGCACTATGATCAAATCCTCAGTTTAATTAGATTGTAAATAATTACTTGTTGCTGTTTTCATGTCATTTAAATATATTGAATACAATTAAAAATTCGATTTTTCAAGAAGAAATATGATTCTGTTATTGTTGTCAAGTATATGTCTGTATAAAAACGCGGATATATTATTCATTAATTCAAATACTTTCATTGTACTTCTAAGTTCAACTATAACTTTTCGTTATTCCTA